TCTGTCTCTCTCATTCTCTCTGTCTCAAATAAATAAATAAAAATCTAAAAAAAAAAAAAAAAAAGAACCAGTTGAGGGGCGGCTGGCTGGCTCAGTCGGTAGCATGTGAGATTCTTGATCTCGGGGTTGTGAGTTCGAGCCCCACGTTGGGGGTGGAGTTTACTTACATTAAAAAAAAAAAGAACTGGCTGAATGTGGTGTGAAGGGGACGAAGGTGGTACCATTTAAGGTGGCTATGGCTCCAACCCTTTAAAAATGTCTTTAAAAATTGAGAAGTAAAGGGAAAGAATTAAACACGTACTTGCCTTCCTAGCAGAAACAGAATTTCAGAACAACCAAAGAGCTGAGTTAATGACTCAAAGCAGTGCTTTAGAGAAAAGGGGCAGCTTATAAACGTAGATTAGATGACAGATGAGAAAAATCGTCACTTTGAACGCCTGCTGGAATTATTGATTCACTCAAGGAGACCAACGAGCACAGAAAGCATTAGCTACGGAGCTGAGCTAAAGCGCCAACAGGACGCTCACTGACAGGGTGCTGACCCAGCGCCGCGCAGACCATCTTCAGGCAGCGAGGGGGGAAATAAGCATCAAGGGGCAGGAGGGGACACCCCGTTATCGCCCTACACACAGCGCTCCCTCTTCGCGTCCCTAACGGTGCCGTGACTGGATCCGACCTGGCTCCCCACAACTGGGGGACAGCTGGAAAAATTGCAACAGGGGCTGAATATTAAATGATATTAAGGATTATGAATCCTTTTTAAAAGGACAGCCATGCTATTTTGCTTATGTAGGAAAGTGTTCCTAATTTTTTCTTGCGTTCCTAGTTTTTAAAGATACATGCTGAAGTGAGAAAAGAAAAAAAAGTTAGAAACAACTCAGCAGTATCTGGAAGTCGACTCCCAGTTAGAAAGCCGCTTTCCAATCAGGAATGCGAAACTGGCACGGTGCTGACAACATGGTCGGTTTCCACGAAGCGGGGGAGAATAGATAATTTTTTAAGGATGAAACAGAAACGCAGATGCGGAGAAGCAATCCCCTCCGCACAGCGCCCGCCCCCCAGACGTGGCCCACAGCCCAGTTAGTCACAAAGGAAAGGCAAGCAGCAAAGCCACAGGAAGAAATGTTGTTGGCCACAATGTTACCATAGTGATGAACAAAACACTGTCAAAACACTAGGAACCTTAAGGAAAACTATACAGAGAATTTCACTCCTCCGTGGCCACACCTAAATGAGGTTTTTTTTGGTTTTGTTTTCTTTTTTTTTTTTTCCCTAAAGAACCACTATGGATGGTGTAGTGGGGAAGAAGAGTATTAAGAAAGGGCAGGGATTATTTCTCGGGATTAGGAGATGGTAACTCTGGGCTACCGTGGCTTCTGGTTCAGGTTCTGCCATGACCTCTCTTGGTGAAAGTCCCTGAGAAACGTCTCTAGGGCCCCCACCGTCCCGGTCTCTAAAAATGAGGGGGTAGGACTAGCATCTTAGTGTCTTAACAATTCACGGTTAAAGATAAGTAATTCAACACGTGAAACGTCCACCTCACTGGATGACCTGTAGGGCTATGTTCATTGTATAATTCGATAATTCTAGAAGTAAAAGGTTCGTCTTTCTGCTGCATATGCAGTTCCACGGCTGCCATGTAGAGAAAAGAAGATTATTCATTTGCTTAAAAAGAAAACATGAAAATTTGTTCTTTTATCCTTTCCCCTGTCTGGCATTTTTATTATACTTTCAGTTTTAAATGCTGATTTTATTTAATGGTCTGCAACCACCACAAACAAAAACATCTTATGCTTTTAGTGGTCCATCTTGTCAGTGTATCTGCCTCGCTAAATTATAGAATTCTCTGACTCATCGGGACAACATATTATCCTCCAGACAGCAAACTGAAAAAAAGCAATTTTCCCATCTCTCAGAAAGATAATTGATCTGATTTTGCTGTCAATGTTACCGTCGTTCACTCTATCACTCAGGCTCGAAACCTTGAGATTATTTTTACTTTCTGCACCTTTCATCGCCCACAGAGTCCCCACGTTGTAATGAGCTGCCTTTAATAATGTCTCTTGCGTCAATCTCCTCTGCTGCGACCTAAGTTCAAGTCTCTGTTATCTCTCCAACCCGGATGACCAAAATATTCTCTTTTCCCTTAATGACTTGTACAGGGTTCCTTTTTATTATGAAAGTAATACCTGCTCATTAGAGGCAATCTGGAAATTTCACAAAGGCAGAGAATAACATCAATTATCTGCGTGGCCCTTCTGCCCCGAGATGATCATTTTGATTCCTTTCCTTCCACTCATTGTTCTATGTGTATGTTCATGCGTTTTTATCCAAATTAGGATCGCAGTGTACTCTGTAGGGATGATGTTTCTTACTCTTGTATCGTGAGTATATTGCTGTGACATTAAATGCTTTGAAAGCCTAACTTGTTTTTTATGAGGACACGATAAGGAACAGAAGCCCAGCACCTGATATGCCGTATGCACGCAGCGGACTTTCAAGGACCGGTTAGAGGTGTCCGAGGACCTGCACCATCTCCAGCCCCCGGCAGCTAGCACACTAGCTGGGGAGATGAAGAAAGAGATGAGGTCATCCTAAGGAAAATAGCCACAACAGTGTTTTTCAAAGTGGGCTCTGTAAACCATCTCCCCAGAATAGGAATCCTCTGTGGGCTCCTGTTAAATACGCAGATTCCTGGGGCCCTTCGCAGACCTGCGCAGTCACACTTTCTGGGGGCGGGGCCCCGGATGCTCTATTCTTGCAAGCGTTCCAGTTGGTTGTGACTCAACTAAAGGTGAAGAGCCACCGGTGGCCATATTCCCTCTTGGTGACAGTGTACCATCTCCTCATCAGGCACCTGACTTTGGGACCCACCTGCCTGGTGATGCCCTATTCACCCAGGGTCTGGCAGCATGACCATGACTTGGTGAGAAAGTGATCCAGATGCATCCTCCCCTGAAAGCACATCGGCCTCCCTGCCTTCCTTCCCCCACTATACATCATCGTTGCTATTGTGAATCACTTGTTATGACAAGAATTGTTTGGGGAGGGGCGCTGGGCTGGCTCGGTTGGCACAGCATGTGACTCTGCATCTCGGGGTCATGAGTTCAAGCCCCATGCTGGGCACAGAGCTTACTTTTTAAAAAGAAAAAAAAAAAGAACTGCTTGGGGATTAACAATAAATGGAAAGTATCAACAGTAAGACTAATCACCGACACTGAGCACTCACGAATGCCTGCGTGCTAAGTGGTTTTTATGGTATTAAGTTAATCGAACCCACATACCACCACCGTGAGGCAGGTGCTGTATCACTACCTCCACTTCACAAACGAGAACACTGAGGCACAGAGAGGTTAAGGAAGTCACCTAAGGGCAGGCAGACGGTAAATGAGATTTGAACCCAGACAATCTGACTCCAGAGCCCAGGCCATTATGTGCTATGCTGTACTACTTCACTAAATTAACTGCCCTGTGTCTGATATTACTAATTTAAAATATATGTAATAATACTGATATTTATTCCATTTAGTGTCTTTATTATTTTATTTGGGTGAATGTACTTATCAGGGAAACCTGAAACTCTTTGGTTCCCCTGAGGTCTTGGGTTTTCCAGCCACAAATTCTAGCATGAGAGTCTGCAGCAAACTAACCGTAACAGTTCGGGTGGGTTTGCCTTGTCCTCAGAGGCCAGCTTTCCAGGCAACAGCACGAACAGAATCTATGTCAACTGTTTACCCTATCTTTCTATTTCCCCATGTCTCCAAGAGTCAGAAGCTCTGTCTATGGACTGGTTTCATCAGGGAGGCTCCACTCCTTGAATGTTTGGATTAAACAGATTCCCTGCTTCCGGGACAGAATGAAGCCCCGTGAGACGAGATGGGCAAAGCATTCTGAGGACTTCTCAAATGGTATGCTTAGTCTGAGACACCACATTTTTTAAATTAATTATTTTTTATTTTAAGCAGGCTCCATGCCCAATGTGGAGCTCGAACTCATGACCCCGAGATCAAGAGTCACACGTTCTACTGACTGGGCCAGCCGGGCGCCCCTGGGATACAACATGATAAAGTGCCTCTTCTTTAATCTTTTAGATAAAATGAAGTTTAAAATAACCAATTTTAGGGGCACCTGGGTGGCTTAGTCAGTTAAGCGTCTGTCTTTGGCTCAGGTCACGATCCCAGGGTTCTGGAATTGAGCCCTGCATCGGGCTCCCTGCTCAGCGGGGAGTCTGCTTCTCCCTCTCCTTCTGGTGCTTGCTCTGTCAAATAAATAAATAAAATCTTTAAAAAAAGTAACCCATTTTGAAATACAGTTCTGACACACACTACCACATGGATGAACCTTGAAAATATTATGCTAAGTGAAAGAAGCCAGATACAAAAAAGGACAAATACTGTGGGATTCCACTTACACGAGGTACCCAGGAGAGGCAGATTCAGAGACAGAAAGTAGAAAAGAGGTGACCAGCGGCTGGGGAGAATGGGAACTTAGTGTTTAACGGGCACAGTTTCTATCTGGGATGATGAAAAAATTCTGGAAATCGTGATGACGGCTGCACGACACTGTAAATGTACCTAATGCCATCGAGCTGTGCATTTAAAAATGGTCAAAATGGCAAATTTTATGTTTTGTGTATTTTACCAAACTCTTTACAAATCCCATAGCCTCCCAACAAAAACCAATTTCAAACTTCATGGAATCAGGACTTACCAGAGTATCATCGTTCTGGTCTCCAAACATTTCCTTAAAAATCTTGCCAGGATCAGGAATTGGAGGGAATATAATGATCTTGAGCCTTTAAGAAAACAGAGACATTTTTTGATCAAATCCTCCAGCCCATAGGAATGCCCCACTTAAAAAAAGCCACATTAAGGGCGCCTGGGTGGCTCAGCTGGTTAAGCGACTGCCTTCGGCTCAGGTCATGATCCTGGAGTCCCAGGATCAAGTCCCGCATCGGGCTCCCTGCTC